ATTTTCACAATGTGACAATGGGATAAGCAGGGACGGACAGTGATGACTTCTCCCAAAACTATCCCTATTTTTAAATAGTCAATTGAAATAAACGAATAGAGTCAAAAGAAATAAATATAGAAAGCTAAAATTTTGCACAAATCTGTCTGTGAAAATCCACAAATGGATTTCCTTTTGAGTACTTTACCCCCTGGTCTATATAAGTCCACGGTACCCTTATTGTATATATAGGTCCACGAAATTGTAAACCCCCGTATAACTGTACCTCCCTATATTCGGTAATTTGATGATTTTAGCTACATTTTTCAAAGGAATTGTTTAAAATCGTTTAGCCTCCATATAACGGTACATCCCAATATTCGGTATTTTGATGATTTTAGCGAAATGATTTCGTATTTAGAGTTCGTAATGGGAACATCAGTCTACGACAGAAAATTGTCTATGCAGGCCCAGGCCTTCGTATACGTCCCATATAATAGTACCCCCATATATTCGGTATTTCGATAATTTTAGCTACAAAATTCATCGGATTTCTTTTTTTTTAATTTCTTATTTGAATGTTGTAATGGCTTATGACAAAAGTTGCCTTTGCAGGTCCACGTCTTCGTATAGACCCCAGTATTATGGCTATATTCGGTATTTTTAAGATTTTAATAGAATTTATAGTAGATGTTATTCACCATTTGGAACGAACTAGGAACCGAATATCGGAAGGTGACGATATATGGGAATATACGATATTGTGGACCAATATAGACATTTCTATTTCAGGAGGTAAAGTACTCACAAAGGACTCCTTGTGTAGAATTTAAGACAATTCCATTGAAAAGTATGGCTAAAATCGTCAAAATACCGAATATGGGGGTACAGATATATAGGGGCTATACGATATCGTGGAGCTATATAGACATCTCTTTCTGGAGGAAAACTACTCACAAAAACTCCTTGTTTAGAAATTCAGATAGTTCCATTGAAAAATTTGGCTAAAATCATCAAAATACCGAATATCGGGGGGGTACCGTTATATGGGGGCTATACGATATCGTGGACCGATATAGGCCATCTTCGAACTTGACTTGCCTGCAGACAAAAGACAGGCCTGTGCAAAATTTTAGCTTCCTCTCTGAATTAGTTTTGACTGTAGCGTGATTACAACAGACGGACGGACGGACGTCTTAGAATTTTACGCTGATGAAGAATATATATACTTTGTTCGGTCTAAAATGATTATTTCGATGAGTTACAAACGGAATGACGAACTTAATATACCCTCCATACTATGTATGGTGGAGGGTATAAAAATCTTCAACTTATTCGCTGGTTTTTTTACAGCAAATATTTAAAAGTCTATACGAAGCTTGTCAATAGAATGTACTATTGTTATACCCTCCACCAAAAAAGGTATGGAGGGTATATTAAGTTCGTCATTCCGTTTGTAACTCATCGAAATAATCATTTTAGACCGAACAAAGTATATATATTCTTCATCAGCGTAACATTCTAAGACGATTTAGCCCTGTCCGTCCGTCTGTCCGTCTGTTGTAATCACGCTACAGTCTAAACGAATTAAGATAGGAAGCTAAAATTTTGCACAGATCTCCCTTTTGTCTGCAGGCAGGTCAAGTTCGAAGATGGGCTATATCGGTCCACGATATCGTATAGCCCCCATGTAACGGTACCCCCCGATATTCGGTATTTTGATGATTTTACCCACATTTTTCAACGGAATTGTCTGAAAATCCACACAAGGAGTTCCTTGTGGGTACTTTATACCTCGGCAGAGAATTGTTCATATAGGTCCACGATATCGTATAGCCCCCATGTAACGGTACCCCCCGATATTCGGTATTTTGATGATTTTACCCACATTTTTCAACGGAATTGTCTGAAAATCCACACAAGGAGTTCCTTGTGGGTACTTTATACCTCGGCAGAGAATTGTTCATATAGGTCCACGATATCGTATATCCCCCATGTAACGGTACCCCCCGATATTCGGTATTTTGATGATTTTACCCACATTTTTCAACGGAATTGTCTGAAAATCCACACAAGGAGTTCCTTGTGGGTACTTTATACCTCGGCAGAGAATTGTCCATATAGGTCCACGATATCGTATAGCCCCCATGTAACGGTACCCCCCGATATTCGGTATTTTGATGATTTTACCCACATTTTTCAACGGAATTGTCTGAAAATCCACACAAGGAGTTCCTTGTGGGTACTTTATACCTCGGCAGAGAATTGTTCATATAGGTCCACGATATCGTATAGCCCCCATGTAACGGTACCCCCCGATATTCGGTATTTTGATGATTTTACCCACATTTTTCAACGGAATTGTCTGAAAATCCACACAAGGAGTTCCTTGTGGGTACTTTATACCTCGGCAGAGAATTGTCCATATAGGTCCACGATATTGTATAGCCCCCATGTAACGGTACCCCCCGATATTCGGTATTTTGATGATTTTACCCACATTTTTCAACGGAATTGTCTGAAAATCCACACAAGGAGTTCCTTGTGGGTACTTTATACCTCGGCAGAGAATTGTCCATATAGGTCCATGATATCGTATAGCCCCCATGTAACGGTACCCACCGATATTCGGTATTTTGATGATTTTACCCACATTTTTCAACGGAATTGTCTGAAAATCCACACAAGGAGTTCCTTGTGGGTACTTTATACCTCGGCAGAGAATTGTCCATATAGGTCCACGATATTGTATAGCCCCCATATAACGGTACCCCCCGATATTCGGTATTTTGATGATTTTACCCACATTTTTCAACGGAATTGTCTGAAAATCCACACAAGGAGTTCCTTGTGGGTACTTTATACCTCGGCAGAGAATTGTCCATATAGGTCCACGATATCGTATAGCCCCCATGTAACGGTACCCCCCGATATTCGGTATTTTGATGATTTTACCCACATTTTTCAACGGAATTGTCTGAAAATCCACACAAGGAGTTCCTTGTGGGTACTTTATACCTCGGCAGAGAATTATCTATATAGATCCACGATATATATCTAAATGTTTAGAATTTATCTCCACATGCTAAACTTAAATATTGTAGCCCCAAAAAAGAGTTTTATTTACCTTCCAAAAAGAATTTCCAGAATCAACACATACCCTTCCACCAACAGCTACCTATAAGACAAATACGGGAACCTCATTGGAAAATTTTATACTTCAAGGATTGCCATGTTCAAAATTTTCTTTAATACCAAATTTGAAACAAATTCGTGGGAAAATGTGGCTAGGATTATCAAAATACCGAGTATCTATGGATGGATCTAGTTATATGTGCGCTATAGGAAAACTATATTCCGCCACAGGTGCTAGAACCCATTACGAACTACAAATACCAATTTTAGGACAAATTCATAGAAAAATGTGGCAAAAATCATAAAAAAATTTCGATTATCGGGAAGTACCGTTATATGGGGCATATACCAAAACGTGGAATTGTATATACCATGTTCCGCCACCATAGCTAGAACCCACTACAAACTACAAATACCAATTTTTATACAAATCCATCGAAAAATGTGGGCCGATATATCTCATTTTCAATACCGACAATCCTAGACATAATACAAATTGTTATGTCAAATTTTGAAGCTCTACGTCGAATGATGTGGCTTGATTTCAATAGGCAGACAGACGGACATCATTAAATCGACATAGAATTTTATGCTGAATATATATACAGGGTGAGATAAATAAAAACTGCAACAAAGTCAAACGCCATAATTTTTACATTTTAATTTTTTAAATTTTATTGAATGAAAGCAAAAATTGTCGGAAATAGCATCAAATTTTAGGATAAATTTAGATTTGTTCGAATTGGTCACCTCTGGCACGAATTATGGTCCGGCGAAGTGCTTGCTTGAGATGATCGACACTTTGGTATTTTTTAGTGTCAACCTTGCTTTCCAAAATACTTCAGACACAATAGTCAAACGGATTGGTATCCGGGGATTTTGGTGGCCATTGTGAGCTGGAAATGAAGTGAAGAACCTCATTTTGTAACTATTCTTGGGTGGCGCGTGCTGAGTGCTATGAAATGTCCAAGGTCTGCGGCCAAAATGTTTGCGTGCCCAAGCCTTTAATACACCCTCCAGAATATTTTCGCGATAATATTCGGCATTTATTCTGATGTCACGGTCGGTTAATAAGAGCGGAGGCGCTTGAGTTCTAGTGGCCAACCGAAGGTGAACCTTTTCAGCTGACCTCTTTGGCAAGTAAACACGATCATTTTGTTTGTTTACATACTGCTAGACAACGAATGCGTTCTCATCGGAGAATACCAAATTTGGCAGTTCACAACTTCGCTACCAGTATTACGGTAACGAGCGATGCTACGAGACACTAAAGATTTATTCACATTTAAATGCTGGAGTGCTCCTAATATAAAGAAATCACACTATCACGCCTAAATTCCATCACGAATAACTTTGTTTCTGGAAATTTCTCACCAAAATGCTTTTGTACGCTTGTACAAGCTGTCACTGGAATAATTTTAACAGCTGTCGGACTAATGGCTTAGAAATGACAGCAGTCTGAATTTGGTTGCAATTTTTTCATCTCACCCTGTATACTTTATGGTGTCAAACGGAATGACAAAGTTAAAATACAGTCCTTTTCTTCAATGCGGATTGTAGTAAAAATTTCTTATGAAGATCCAAAACATGGCACATAGTTTGGGGCAATTTGACCCTCGGGTAACATGTCTCAATTCATAACAATTGTTCTTCATACTCCAATATGTTGCTCATACTCGATTTGACTTTCTCTGTTCATATGACATGTTTTATTAAATGCAAATAAGTTAACAATCCAATTAAAATATATGAACGTATGCATTTTATTGTGAATAACGAAATGTATGATTATTTAATACGAATAACAATTTTCACTAAATTCTATAAGTTATGAACAAAAAACAATAACAATTAATTTTTCTATAAGTCTATCGAGTTGATGGCAGGCCACGACGGCTTCATGGAATACTTTTTACTTTCTTCTCTTGATGTAGTAACGGCTGGGTGCACCGTAGACTGGGGCTGGAGTGTGGACTTCCTCCTCTTCGGGTTCAGCAACAACAATGGGTGCCGAGGTGGTCTCGGGAGCCAAGTATTGATTGCTAGGTTCAGCTGCTGGTGTTTGTGCTTCCTCGCCAGCAAAGGCGTCCATTGTGGGCTCATTGTCAGCGGCAGGTCCCTGCTCGATGTTCATGTAGCGAGGCTCAGCTTCCTCGACAGCTGGTGTGGCAGCATTAGCAGTTTGCTGTTCATATTCGCTGGCATCCATGGGAAGAAAATCTGCATTGGCGCCATTAGGATGAGGAGCAGCATATTCTGCAGCTGGTTCAGCGGATTGGCGGGTGGCAGGTGGTGGGCCGTAAACAGGGGCTTCATCCTTCTTGGTCTTGTATTTGATGAAAAATACTTCGGGTTTGGAAGGTTTGGTGGGAGCTGGGGTTGGTATAACAATATCGGCTTGGTTCTCGGGTTTCTTGTGCAAGACATAGATGAGGGTCTTCTCTTCGTTTTGTGGTGGCGGAGCAACAACGGGTGGACGCATAACGGGAGCATTGGGAGCCTTGATAAAGACAATTTTGTAGTGCTTTTGCTTGGGTCCCATTTGGTGGGTGACACGTGGTTGAATCACGTCTTCCTCTTCAAAGTCCTTGGGTGGAACATGCACATAGATGTGTTTGTGGACTTGGGTTTCGGCGGGAGCGTTTGAATAACCGGACTGATATTGGCTGGAAGTGGAATGGCGGTAGGCGGCATTGTAGGAATCTTCTTGGACTGGCATTTCAGGTGTGGCAACAACTTCATTGTTGGCTGGTGCAATTGTATCAGGAGAAGGGGGTGCGCTGTATGTGGGCACTGGATTACCAAAGCTATTGAAGGCGACATCTGTAGATAGAAACAAGCAGACAATAGAATTGACATTTACGCCATCCATTCCCGGGATACTTACCATTATTTTGTACCGGAGGCAGGTAATTTACTGGAGGTTCAGGGCGAGCCATAACTGTGGCCACTGCCAAACAGGAGAACAAAATGAAGCAACGCATTTTGAAATGTGTGTGTGTGTGTGTTTCGATTATCCTTTATTGTAATTAATAATTAAAAATTAATATTTTTAAATTCGTATTCCAGCTACTTCGTTGTTGTAATGGATCTAAGCCAGAAAAGGCCAAGATGTGAACTGATGCTACATCGAATTGCGCTCAGCACATTTATACAAAACGATTTGGAACATTAGATTTTTTTAGTTGGAACTTCCACTAAAATCTCATTTAACTTGAAAATTATTTAATTAAAGTTTCAAATACTCAATACCGGCAACAACAACGACAACAACAGCAACGGTAACAATAACAGCAATGCCGGTATTTACCAAAAAACAATTAGCGGCCAAAACTGACACCACCACCATCATTACCATCGACAACAACAACAATGACGACGACAACAACATGAGCAACAACATTCTTGCTAGCTCTCATTCGCCCTATTCCAAAACAATTCATTGAGCTACAACATTAACAACAAGAACAACAACATCAATTGAACGGCAGGTGATTTGTAAAGCATTTAAGATGCGATATGGCAAAAATTCCGCTGCTACCATTCCAGATCACATTAAATCGATCGATCGAACAAACCATAAAAACGAATCACGCATACACATACACACACACACATTGATGGACGGACGGACAGATCTTGGCCGTTAAGGTTGATGACGATTTTAGATACTTGCCAGCGATATTGATGATTATAATTGCCGATGATAATGATGAGGTTCGATGTATAGCCCAGAAAACGCGTTGAAACACTTTAAGGCGTTCGGGTCACTTATTCAGTGTTGAGGTAGGGTAAAACAAACAGAAACAACAAAGAACTTCAAGTGTTGTCCAAAAGTATTCATTCATTCATTTATGCACTCACTCACCTCCACCACGTTGACATGGTGGCACTTGAGGGATACGTCAAGTGTCATTGGCAACAGTATCTGAATTACGGTCGTCCACTAAGCATTGTAAATAGACATGGGTGTATGTGGCGACGTGCACAAGTGTTGCTACTAAAATATTTTGTACACTTGATCTGGAATATTATGTTATGGGACCCTACAATTCGCATATCAGGATATTAATTGTTACTAAAACAACTTAGAACGTATCGGTGTTTCAGTTTATAAGAGGTACAATTATTGAAAATCTTGATCCTTTATGGAGGATCCGAAAAAAATGTGCCAATATTGTCCGTTAGAAATTTGGACGAAATCGCACTCTTTATATATAATTTATTATTGTTATACCCTCCAGCATCGTATTTAAGTTTTTAGAATTATTCCGCTTGTAACACCTCGAAATATACATTCTCACTGCAGCTTCCGGACGAAATGAAGTAAGTTGATAAAATTTTACTCAGTTGTGTGTTTGTTCTGCACGACATTTGGTATTCAAAATGGACTATATTGGTCCAGGTTTTGGTAAAGCCTTCATATAACTGTGCCGACAGATTTAAGATATTTTTTATACCCTACACCACACTGTGGTCAGGGTATTATGTCTTTGTTCATTTGTTTGTAACATGGAGAAGAAAGCGTGATAGACCCATAGTTCCTTTTGATGATCTGCATAGAATCGCATTCTGATCGATTTATGTGTATCTGTCCGTCCGTCTGTCCATGTATTTTTGCAAAAAAGCACAGGTAACATTTATTGCCCGACCGACAAGCTCCATCGAAATTGGAGAAAATCCGTAAAACTTTAGATATAGCACACATATACAGGGTTGCCCATATTCGACGGACCCATCTGGCAACGCCATAACTTTTGACAGAGATGTCACATCGCTTAATGATATACCGCGTTTGAAGCGTCAGTCCAAGCAGATTTTTACCATGAACCAATACACGTCACCCGAGCGCACTGAAATGTACATTCAACAGAAGAAGTCAATTGTGAAAACTCAACATGCTTTTAAAACATTCCCAACATACCAAAAATACAATACAGCTTGAGAACAATATTATAAAAATATAATTTTTCAACAATGCTTGAGAAACACTTATGTTCCACAAACATTTCTCAAATCTGTCCCTTGTTGACAAATTAGTTTTGATTTTTTGTGAAAACTGTCAGCAAGAAATTATTTTCTTTGGCAAAAAACAAAATCATGCGAATTTAGGACCCATTTCTGGACCGAACCCTTAAGGTATGGATGAATAATAAATCTGGGAATCTTTCACATAAATTATTCTAATCCCATTTCAGATTGGAATCATTAAAAAAGTTGAAGGAATTCAATACATGAGATACAAGAGATGCAGAAGTTCAAATAAGGGAGAAGAAAACGTCAGGGTATCAATGCCACATGAGGCAGTGACTACTGGGATGTCCATCAAGAAAAAAAATGTGAAAAATGATTAAAAATTAAAAAAAATAATATTATATACTATTACAAAAATAAGCTTATTATAATATTATTTTTGTAAGCTTATTCTACAATTTCAAGTATAAGCTTATAAATAAGGGTTCCGTTTCGATTATTCTATACTTGTTACACAAACATTTTTCAATGTTTTCTCAAGATTTTCTCAAGATGCCATATAAAAGTCGGCCAAGGCGATCGGCCGAGAATATCGCTGCCGTACGAGCCAGTGTTGAGAGGTCCCCAAGAACATCCCAAAAACGCCGTTCTCAGCAGTTGGACATGGCTCGGTCCACTTTACAACGGATTATTCGCATTGATTTGCATTTGTTCCCGTACAAAATTCAATTGACGAAAAGAATGTTTCCTGCGGACAAGCCTCGTCGGTTGGAATGGGCCCAAAGGGCCCAAAGGTCCGTCGAATATGGGCAACCCATTGGTCACCTTTGGCCATCAAACGGCCGATGAAACCGTCACACGCTGCCCAAATGTTGCTCTGCGGTATTTTGGACATTCCCGGCGAAGCGCTTGCTTAAGGTGATCGACACTTTTGTATTTTTTAGTGCCAACCTTGCCTTCCAAAATACTCCAAATACAATAGTTCAACGGATTGGTATCCGAAGATTTTAGTAGCCATTGTGCGCAGGAAATCAAGCGAGGAACCTCATTTTGTAACCATTCTTGGGAGGCGCGTGCTGAGTGCTATGGTTCTGAGTCCTGAGTTTTAAGTTCTTGCACTTTTTGGCCTTATCCCGAGCTCATTTTTCAAATTTGCGAATGGAATATTGCGATATGTTCAGCTCACAAGCCATTTTTCGGCCACTGCGACGGTGGTTTCGATCAAGTCGCTTCCATTTCTGCTGATATTGTTGTTTTCTTCCGTCCACTTCCCACGCTACCAGTAACCCGGTAAGGGGGCGATGGTACGAGACACAAAGGATTTATTCACATTTAAATGCTGGAGTGCTCTAACGGTAGCCACTAGTGGTTTTCCAGCCAAATATAAAGACGTCACAATATCACGCTTGAATTCCATTACGAATAACTTTTTTTCTGGAAAATTCTCACCAGAATGCATTTGTACGCCTGTAAACAATATAATGAGCTGTCACTGGAATAATTTTAGCAGCTGTCTGACTAGTGTCATAGAAATGAGAGAAGTCTGAAGTTGGTTGCAGTTTTTTCACCTCACCCTGTATGGTTCGTAATATGCATTCGACAACAATGATATTTGGTAGAAGATATCTTATTCAGCTCAGAAATACTTTTGCCAAATTTAATCGAGAACGACTAAGATTGGGATATATCTTCCATATATATCCTTAATCCGATTTTAGGTTTATTGTGCAAATAACGGCTAATATCAGCCAAAATAGTGTGAATTTCGGGACGTATGTTTCCATTTTTTGGAGCTCGACTAAGATATATATTTTTAATGTAATCCTTCTCGAAGTGATATCATGTACTCTTTAGCAATGTTATGTGGCATAAAAGATTAAAAAATTTAATCTTAAAATCGATTCAGAATTGGATATGCATATGTGTGGGATATACTGATATATGGGGCCTATACGAAGACCTGGAAAACCTGAACCTGGACCAAAATTTTAGCCATCTATCTCAATTCATTCGAAAGATAGCGTGATTACAACAGACAGACAGAAAGACATACATCGCTAAGTCGACTTAGAATTTTACGCTGATCAAGAATATATATACTTTGTTGGGTCTTACATGAGTATTTCGAGGAGTTACAAACGGAATGACAAAGCTAATATACCCTCCATAGTATGGAGAGGGTATAAAAAATAAAAAAATACAGAGGGTTTACCAATGCACATACAAGGCAGCGGATTCTGCGATACCGGATTGACCCGAATTTCAACATTACAGTTTCGGCCAGCGGCAGCCAAGCCAGTTCAGTTTGACGCAATTACGTTCAGGATAGTGCAGTTGTCTTAATTCGTATTGGGCACGAATTAATGAATATGTGGGTGACGTCTGCGAGTGATACAGGCCCTCACACCACGTGCACCTCTTTAATTGCAACGCCAAACCTACCCAAATCACTCCAGAAAATCTCTGGATACAGCCCTTAAAGGTAGCCAATTTTAAAAACCTGGAGTTCCAAACAGATTAGCAGAACTAAACATCTGCATATATTACTGCTACAACAGCAAGTCGTGTACATCGTGTGCTTGTCTACCAATCGAAAGATCGAACAAAACAAAGAAGAAAACAAAGCATGTGCCCACTATATGTTGAGATAACTTTTTGTATATCTGAAACCCTTTTGACTAGAATGAACCAATCCCTCAAGAAATTGGAATATACAAAAGATCAAATGTTATTATCCCTTTCTAACCCTAAACCTTTATTCTGTAGTGATTTGAATTTTGGATAAATAGAAATGAAGTTTGTTAATTGTCAAACTTTAATCCTATTATGGAACAGATTGAGCAATTTGTTTGCCATTATATACAAACAAAATGTTATTGGTTCGTTTCTGGTGAAAATTTTTGAGGAATTGAAGATAAATATTGGGATTTATATTCCTTGTGTTAATTTTGAATCTTCATAGTCATTCCGACTTCTATACCACTTTTTGAATTAAATTAGTTTCATACAT